ATTGAAGTCCCCAGTTAAGATTGTTGGTAATTCTTGGTTGATATTCTCCAGCGCTCTTAGTACCACTTCCAACATCTCCTCTACTTCGCACTGGGGCTGCACATAGCAGCATACCAGGTTGCACACCTTAGTTTGAACGACCACGTATGATTCGCTCTTGAGGAGTAACGATGGTTCCATGAAAGGTTTCACAGCAATTATGATACCACCTGATGGACGCCCTCTCCTCGCTCTCTTCATTGCTGGTGAGTTGAATGTATAGAAGCCATTCAACTCGACTGGTTCTTCTGCAAAGGTTTCCGTGAGTAGAATGACATCGTGCTTGGAGAATACATCTTCCGGGCTAAGCTTCAGGATGGATTTCAGGCCCTCCACATTCCATAGTATTTTTTCATTCCATTTTTTCAAAATACATTCCAGTTATCGGGGGGATAAGGATTTGGGAATGCTGCCGTTATGAACGCATTTCCTGTATGTCTTTCCACCACTCTATGAAAGGTAGGTCTAAGAGGTATATGCCACTTGTCCTCACTCGGGAGGGAGGCTAATCGGGTGAGAAGGAATGCACCAGGGGAGACACCTGTGTGTGGAAGGGGTGAAGCATGACCGAGACCCTCCAGGCCATGCGCGCTCCATCTCCTGTTCTCCCTGCAATGGTCCATCCTCATTCACTTATAAGGGCATCATGAAAATCGGTTGCCATTTCTTCCCTAATGTTGCCAGTCTCCAGAAATTGTAACATAAGAGTCCTCTGCTTAACCTACGTATGTTAATCCTGCTCTCTGGGACATTGATCCTGCCGTTGTATGACTATGGTCCCCCCTTAAACCGCTCCAGCCATCGGTAAACGGTACTCTTCGATTCTGCAGATTCTCCAGACAGCCTGCAGCCTCTCAGAACAATCTCAGAACCGCGTGCACATTCTCTCCACAAAAAGAAAATCGCTCGCTGAGCTTTCACCGCGTCTTCCATGGCTTCGAAAAATACAACTGAACTGGGATGAATAACTCTGCACAGGAGATTATTCGGGCAACAATACCAAATTCAATAATTAACAAGGTAAGCCTTTATTCAAAACCTCTGATCAGAACAGGTTAAGCTCGATTTCCTATTGTACACTGACGGAATTCCCAGAACTTTCTGAACGTCCCTCTTAGGTTATTCACGGAGGCTCCACGTAAAAGTGACCGTTGAGCTAATGTGGGCCAACGTTGGCAGCAAGTTGAAGAGCAACATATAACCCACTTATTTCAGTAGCTGATTTTTGCTCCAAATTGGCCATCATCATTTCGCTCCATATACTTAAATTCCAGGAGCAGCTCGTCAGGGGAGGCAAGGGAGGCCCGGCCTCCAGAAAAATTATCAGGAGACCCTTCCCCATACAATTGAAAATATCCATTAGGATAGTAAACAACTGAAAGAAATCTCTGATAATCATTGAATTCATTCTCAGTGGACACAAAACGAGCGAAGTCCAGTCTCTGACAGTTTACTCCTGCCCAGAATCGCGTATGGGAGGCTAGTGCCTGGTGACCTCCTCTGGCTCTGGCCTCCCATCTGGTCTCTGGGGGAGAAATTCGTCAGACCACTACTTTTCTCCTCGGGCCGGATACGCCTCTTCTCTCATTCAAGTGTTCGATCGAAGGTTTCAATTTCCACTCTGCTTTCGCGTGATTTCGATACAATATAAACTTTGAACATGAAACGGTTCATGGCTCAGCGACTGACCTAAGCACACCTTTCGTGCTTCATGCTCGCATTAATACTACAATGAATTCTTGTTCATGATAATGATCATAAGCTGGCTCCCCATATTTTTCATCCACGAGCCACCACTGCTAAATTCATTACCCAGTGGAGGTATTCCCATCTGCAGACCCTGAGATGGACCTGAGCAAGTTGACAGCAAAGAAGGGACGGCGGAAGCATTTTTGATCGACTTCTACCTGTCCTTCAAAGGAGAGTTAGTTGTTCAGTCGTATCCGAAGGTACTGACTTAAAGATGGTTTAATTTGCTTCCCATTTAGGATATGACCGTGTCAACTAGTTTCAGAAGCTGGGGCTGTTTTATACCCTAATTGTGAAACACAAGGTCGACACACTTGTCATAAGAGATTTGTTTTGACAAAATGCACACATCTGATTTCAGAGACATAATTTTTTCCAAAAAGCTCTTCTGATCTGATCTTCGCCATCACTGCAGTGTAATCGGCATACTTCCCAATTACATCCTCCAGTCACCAGGGTCTGTCACCATATAAAGAAATGAAGCACAAAGAGGATGAAAGCCATCTATTGAAAGCATTTATTGAACTTTTCTTTTACAGTGAACAACTCAAGAAAGTCAGAGAAAGTTCGAAATTATTCTTTCCTTCTCCTTCCAACTGTCAAATAGCAAGCAAATAAAGAGGATCTTGGGAAAGAAAATCTCTGTGCTGCATCTCCCCAAATCGGCCTTGGTCAATCAAAATTACAGAAGAGACGTGTCATCCATTGTCCATAGTGCCAAAGTAGCTCTAGTTGTTTGTTTTGCACTGTTTTAGGTTTTTGACACCTTCCAGTCAGGAGTGTGTATCACAGACTCGGGAGGCCTTTGCGTCTCCAAGATATGAGGGGGAGGGGGTTCAACTGCATGGGAATAACTAACAAGACTAAGATGCAAAAACCGAGTCAATGTGATGCAAATTGATAAAAATGGCAGTAGTAGCACTTCACAAGGAAAAATCACCCACACAACTGAAAAATTCACATCCTCTTCCACTCTGGCCAGCAACTCACATCCAAAAACTCCAGAAAGATTTCTCAGAGGTCTCTATACACCCCATATAGAGCTCTGACTTGTGTATTTTGACCTGCCACGGAAGCAACTGTTGGGGGGATATTTTTCAATGTATTCTTTGCTTCCTGTTTTGCAACTTGGGATAAAAACATGAGAATCAGGAACTATGGGAGACAAGCAGAGTCCATCACCAAGGGAAGCTATCTGCTCAGGCTATGATTCAACTCCATTAGGATTGATTGGCATATTTAATTAATACTAATATGATTAAAAAAAGAATTTCTTTGTTTCCATTCTGTCTTCTATCTACACGTGCTTCTCTCATTTCTTTTTCAGGGTGAAGAATCCTTTCTTCTTAGCTTCATGCTTTTCAGATGAAGATGCTGGGAGTGTCTGGGCCTTGGATGGTCCCTTGTCCCCATCAGAGAGAACTACTTGAATGGCCTTCACCCAGTCATTCATCTCCTCATCATCTTTGGCTTGGAACAGATATTCTCCTCCATTGGAGAGCCTGAAGAAAGGATGTATGTTCAGCTTCTGAGTGATTGCAAACAGAGAGAGTGGACAAAATAACTATGGCAATGTACGCACTTGACTCTGAAAACATGTTTCTTCTTGGTATAGTCGGATGCAACCTCCACAGAGCCATTGGTCATGTCCAATGGAGCTTCTCCATGATAATAGACATCAGGGGCAGTTGATCGAGACTTCTGGTCCTTGTAGAACTGGAGGCTTGTACCATGCAAGGCCACATACACCTTGTCCCATGATCTGGTAGAAAGGGAAAGAAAAATGAAGGAAAGATAATGGAAATGAAAATGCAAGGAGTAGTAGAAACACAGAGAATGAAAGCTTCTGTGAACCTGTTCGTGGCCTTCTTGGTTGTTGATTCCCACTCATGCTTACGATGTAGAATTCCCTCAGTCTTTTCCTCTTCCTCTCCTTTTGGCCGCTCTGTTTCAATTAAGAGAAGTGAAGTATGTCACTTGATTCATAAATTTGCCTGGACTACATTTATGGAATCAGAATTATGGAAGAGCAGGAGCAGATGTAAAGTCAGAGAAACTTTTTCCAGGGCATTCTGAGTACACCTAGTAGGTCTGGAATCCTTGAGTGTCAAGATGACACTCCACCATGTCTTCTCATGTGCATTGATTGGTCTGAATCATGTAAATTACACTACTGCAGTGTAGGAAAACATTTTTCCCCCCACAAACCTGAGGCGACAAATTGGAATTTCCTGGGAAGGATATGCAAGCAGATTTAATGGACTGGGCTGGCCCCACCCGCCTGAGCATCTCCATTCCTGTGAACCTTGTTTGCATGTTCACATGGGTTTTCCTAACCTGCACTACTGACAAATTTTTTTTCTCTGTACTTCGCCATAAGTCTCAGAACAATGTCATGATGAAGGAGGCAAAGAAACACCTAGAAGATTCTGAATTTACAAATGCACTCCTGATCCAGTGATGCAAGTAGAATGAGCAAATGAAAGGCTAATGCTACTGCCTGGACTGAGTGGAGGATGCTGTTGTGAACTTTGGTTTCCCCCTCTTGTAAGTGTGGTGTGAACTTACCTCGAGCAGCCTCGATATTAGCCTCATCATCACTTGCACTCCCAGGCTGTGTTGCCTGTGGTGGAGTCTTTGATTTCTTCCATCGGAAACTTCGGAATGGTGATTTGCTGCGAGCCCTGGACTTCTTTTTCTTCCCGTCCTTAGCTGAACCAACAAGCAAGCCACACAGTGACAGATACAAGCATTCCAACAAAAAACTACTGAAAATAATTTAAAAAAAACACAACACACATGAAACAAGAATCTCCTACAAATGTAACACAGCAAAAATAAAAAACCATTCTAATAGTTGAGCATGCTCAAGTTATTGCAACCATGCATGGGAATCCATTCTCAATCTCATGCAACTCCCCTCAATACTTCACTTCATGCAAATATCTCAGTTCTTAGACCTTGATCACTTGGCCACTCTCTGTACACAGTTATAGCATACAGCCCATTTTCACCCAAAGCATTATCATAGGAATTCTTCAATTTCAAAAGAAAATCCTGATGGCCTCAGCCACATCATGAAGGATAACTTAATACTTTATTCAACTACTATGAAGACTGAAATATTGTAAAAGTGGCATTTTTACATATATAGCACACAAAAAAAAAAACGAGTTAACTTTTTCATCACCAGGCAATGAAAATGTGCCTTATTGACATGTAATCCAGCATGAGCTACACTCTTCTTGCAATGTATGTTTTTGTAGTATTCTTCTTTTTCAGCTTTATACCTTGTTTCTAGTTGGCGTATGGTGCAGCTCAGTGCATTGAGTTGCATGAAACTCCTATAATATCAGGTGTGGAGAAAAAAGAAACCAAACAGCTGTTTGAATGTTTATTTCTGAAAAATGGTGAATGCTACAGCTGTGTTTGTCCCACCAGGTATACATCTACATATTTTTCACTCTACACATTTTTTCAGGACTTTCTGTCAACTGGTTTAGCACTTTAGTTTGCAATTGTAATATCTGGAAATCCCCATTCAAGGAGACTCACTGAAATGGATGAGCAATGGGATGGCCTTGTGCATGGATGACAGCATTCAGTTGCTGCTGAATGCTGTTTTCATTTAAGATTTGTTCTTATGACAAATTTCCTGATATGCAAATTCCAACAGCAGTGTGAGTTTTTTTTCTCCACCCCCAGGTTTATTAAACCAGCAATTAGCAGCAAGACATGAGATTGAGTTAATTATTAGTTGTAATTAGGCCATCAGAAGGCAAGAATTATTTCCTGCTGCTAATACAGGTTTCTCAGCAAAAAAACCCCCCATGGGAGATGAAAGTCTTGTTTTGTCAAACCTGTACAACAGTTGAGTCCTAAGTAGATCTCAACCACTGAGGAATTAAAAGGCAGTGACTGTCCTGAACATGTATGGATGCTCATTAATAACTCACGTGAAGGAAGAGAACGAGGAGATAATGGAGTTGGCGGTTGGGAAGTGGAGAAACTACTTCGACTCCAAGATGAAGAAGAGGCAGTTTGTGAGCGACCAGTTACCCCCAAGGAGGTTCTCCTTGTTTCTGATCATACACATGCAACCATGCCATGCAAATACAGGGATTATCCATGCTATGCCTACATCACTAAATGCTATCAACCAACAGTCAAGAGTTGTACAAGGTGAGGGCAACCTGCTTTTGACATAATATATAATAAAATGACATAATACATACTTGACATAGTAAAAAGTCAAACATGTGATGTGCCAGAATTATGGTTACTTTTTCAGAAGTTCACTGTCAATATTTAATGCATAAAGCAATCTAATTGATTGATTTATGCATTAAATAGGTCAAAGGAAAGGCTTAAGTACTTTTCAAAGTCACTGTATTTAGGAAACTCAACTGATAGGGCAATAAAAAAATTATTATAAGAGGAGAGAATTTGGTAACTTAAGTAATGACTAGGCTACCAGCATGGGCTGGTGAATGAACTAAGGCTGGCCTGGCTGCTATGAAATATTATATGCAAATTTGAAAATTTGCCAAAAAATATTATTGAGAACAGCTTGAGGGGATTTCCCTGAATCATACATATATCATAGACACTGCATTGTTACAAAGCACCATAGGATAACATGAAACCAACAAGCTATTGAGGATCTCATTGGCTATGCAATGATTACAGCTGCCATTTCTACAAGTGGATGTTGTCAAAATGAAATGGAAAGCAGAAGTCTTTTTGCTCCAATAAGAGCAATCCATTTGGAATATAGTGAAATGATTAGTAATGGAGCAATGAAGCAAATTACAGGATGGGAGTGCTCAATAAAGACTCTAACAAGTGTCTGCAATTAGAAGTCCCATCTTCCTGCAACCTACAATACTTGAATCTTTCAACATTCCTAGTCATGTTAACATGACATGTTAACAAGCATGATTGCCTTGATAGCCTTGCAAAACTCTGACAAAACCAAAGATGGTAGAAAGTCTCTACAATGCAAAAAGGAATAAAACTTGTATAGATATGGTAGACATGCTGCTCTTACCTCATAGCATCAGAGACAAACCCTGCACCAGTTGATGGAGACCTTTCCCAGTAGTTTTATGCAAGTGTGATTTTTTTTTCCCAAAGCTACAAGATGCATTTAAAAAGTTTAAATCATCCACTTTTATCAATTGCCTAAATTTACAGAAATACTAATTGTACCATGCTGTTGTCTGATGTGTTTTATACATACTCTGTATTTTCCATGTTACTCAGGTGATAATATATATACAGAATTAGTAAAGCCAATTTCTTTGTTTCAGATACAACATGAAAACATTCAAGTCTAGAAGAGATAATGTGACCTGTTTTGTCTTTTTACAGGGGAAGAAAAAAGTGGATGAACTAGTAGATGTCTATAAACAGTAGACAAATATGTATGTGAAGACTTGTGTCTTTTCATAAACTTTTGGTGACAAATTTCTCCAATGAGGCTGCTATGGGTTAAGTGATTCCTTATCTCAGTATGATGAATATACACTCAAAGAAAAATTTGCTGCTACTTTCCAAAAGTGGATATAAAGACGATAACTACTTCGAGGAAAGTGTTCTGAAATACATTATGAGCTAATGAACAATGTGTCATTGTTCATGCTTTCCAGAAAAAAAATTAATGATCAGAATTTTTTAAATGCACCTCCTGCATCACTGCAATCCTCCACCAATGCCAGACAATAAATAGCGACCATTCATCTCAGAGAATGTCACAAGCACAATGGCTCTTCCAAGGTAGGTATGACAAAACAACCTCCAGCTTACTTGTGGTATGCCTTTGTCATTCAATGTCCTCAAAACATTTGCTTCATCTAGAAAGAGCCACTGTGAAATTGAGAAATTTTCGATGCAATGTTAAGTCATGCACATCAGGCAAGAAGACAGAGAGCTTATTTCTCAGTAAGCACAGACGACCAATCCAGACTTTCACCACTTCTCTCAGAAGGAAGGATATAGAATAAGAGTAATTTACAGTATTTATGAAAGGGAAGTTCAGATCCATGTTTTACAATTTGAGCGCATACAGTAAAATGTCCATTTGACACATCTTAGTCCCAATATATGTGGTTGAATTACTCCAGCAGAAAAAGAAATATTTCCAGTACAAATTGGAGCAAAAAGAAAAGGACGACACAATATGCTGGAACCATTAAGAGTTTGATGCCAAGTAGGTCAAACCTTTACCTCAATGAGCAGCTAATGAACAACTCCTGCCATCAAAACTCATCAAATATGAATGGTGTTCTACCATGTTGAGAGGGAATAAAAAATAAAGAAAGATGAAGAAAGAAAGAGAAGGAATAGAAGTACCTGGGGGAGGCTCTCTGGAACCAGGAGCCTCTTTCCCTTTGTCCTTGTCAGCTGAGAAATAAGAGAAAGAGGAATAGAGATAGGCAGATCCATAAAATCCCTCTCTTATCCAGTTATCAAGTTGAATGGATTACATAAAGCAACTAATTAGATCACACCCATACATTAAAGGAAGGTGAAATAGAAATGGAATGATGAAGAATGAAAACTGACCTTCTCTTTCAGTTTCTCGTTCTCTGGCAGCAGCTGCTCCCCTCTCATCGAATGCACCTATATCTGGCCTGAAATAATGGAAATGGAACCATATAAGATAAATCACAATTTTGAGAGCAACACAGAGGGAATGAATCAAAACACATACACATCTCGAGGTGGAGTTGCTTCCATCTTTGGTGGTGGTGCCATTTTGATAATTTCCTCCAACCTCCTCCTCTCTTCTTCTTCTCTACGTCGCTCCAGTGCTTTCAGTTCAAACTGCATGTAGGAAAGAATTGATGAAAATAAATATTCAATTAAATTTAAGATTTGGTCTGTTCATTAAACAGAGAGTAGCACTACTCAAGGCTTAAACCATCTATTGACCCCCTATTCAGAAAGGGTTTAAGCCTTGATTAGTGCTACTCTGTTTAATGAGCATGACCATTGTGTCATTATGTGCCACCAACAGGGAAGGTACTCAACCAAAAGCTACAGGGTATCACCACTTAAGACATTTCCTCTATGGTTATGACCAATGGAAGAGAATGCAAGGGCGTTAATACTTCTGCTGATTATGAAGAATCTCAAGATATACCTTCAAAGACACAAGAACACTAAATGTGAGGCCCCAGCTGACACTGAAAATCAGCCACTATGAAGGAAAAAGTTCAAGGATGTGTTCAAGCAGGGCACATGAGGTCTCAGACACAAGAGGATTAAGGTAAAGGAGAAGAGCATCATGAGAATAATGAAATGAGCAAAGCATGAATAATGGCAACTTCTGCAAATATTTTGTGAACCCAATTTGCACTTTTTAAAAGAGAGCATGCACATGAAGAGTACCATACCAATTATTTTTTACTGCAAACATATAGTCTGAATTCAGAACAGAATGATAAATTATAACTTTTTCAGAATTTATGAAGTATTTGCATTTGAAGAGCCAAGATGAGGTGCATTCAAGTTTTTGGATGCTTGAGTGCTATACAAATATATATATCTTTAAAAAATTTTTGCTGGCTTCACCTGCCTGTTTTCTGCTTCCTTTCTTCACTACACTGGAATCATAAGAGATAACAACAGTATTTTCTTTACAGTATATTTTAAAAATTACCCTTATTATTTTCTTCCCCCTTCCTCCCAATTTTTATTCAAAGGGTCTTGATCCCTTTCGTTGGCAGAGGCAAGTATACTTCCCAGAAAATTGTTTACCCTCCTCATGTTCTAGGAAGGCTGCACATAATAAAAACTTGCACACAATAGGGTTAAACAAAAAAATAGATCTTACACATACTATTCATAAATTGAATCTCCTTCCAACAATCTGTTCCTGCACGAGCATGACTGAGATTTCTAGCATTTATGCAAGGCTGATGCTATTTCTTTCATTGTTAAATAATGTTTCCCCTTTATAGATTTGTCCTTTTATAGATTATACTGAAAAATATACATGTAAGCTAAAGAGCTAAGACAGGTGCTCAGTTAATGTTTACTTCCCACTCCATTCTCTCTTCTCAATTGACCAACAACAGGCAATCAGAATTTCTTTCAAAACTTAAAACCTAAATCATATTTGCAAAATATGGACATTTCCCCACTGAATTGGCTTACTTCTTCCTACTCTACAAACTTTTGACAGGATAAATGTTCAAATAATTTTAAAGTTTATTGACACCCTTAATATAGTATGCCTATATTAAGGGTGTCAAATTCAGGCACACTGTATATTGACATGTTGGATGACACTCATTCTGCATTCTTCCACATTTTTCTAGAAGTGGTTAAAACAAGGAAGCAGAGAGTATCTCAAGTTAATGCAAAGGGTAAATGTCTGACAAGTTCACAAGTTAGCAAAAGGTGCAAGACACTTCATATGCAACGGTGCTCCATAAGCACCAGAAACAGAACAACAGAATTATAGTAATATTGCAGAGTAAAAGCCAAAATAATGCAATTTTCAGTCCCTTCTTTCTATTGCGTGAATGGATTAATGAATTCAGAAATAATTTAGATATAAATTCATGCAACAACTAGAGGCTTCTCCTATATCAACTATTTCAGTTAGAATCAGAATGATGATAGAGTGTCCATGCGAAGCTGTGTAAAATTCTAGCGTAATTAGTCAGGGAACAGTCTTGTGGATGACGATGACAACAAGCTGAAAAAGGGGCAGGATGATCACCGTGTCAGACTCTTCCCCTTCCTGGCCATACAGGGCCTGTCTCTCTTCCTCTGTTAAAGTCAGACCTAGTTGTCGTTCCTGCTCACGCAACTCCAACTGGAGTCAGAGAAATCATTTTAACTCATGGAATGACTGTCACAAGTTCATTTTTTTGCTGTCTTCACAAAAGTCCTATGTTAGCTGAAAAGGGAAGAGATAAAAGAGACTCACAGTTGTCAGGCGTTCCAATGCTGCAAACCTCTCTTCTTGGGCTGCAGCAGACTTCTCGAATGCCTCATGTCTCTTTATTAAATTCTCCACTTCATCAATGGTATGCTGTCAAAGGAATGAAGAAAACATACTAAGGATTGAAAGAATGCATAGGCATATATTAAAAAATTGCATCCTCTAGCTCACCCCTAGTTCATGACTGAGAAGATAGGGCTCCTGTGCAATGAGCCATGCTTCAGCCACAGCTGCATCTCGAGCAAACTGGTACACCTCCAAGACTGCAATGGGAAAGGAAAAGGTGGAGAATTTTGATACAGCAAATTCCCTTCTCATGAGGAAAAAGAAGGAGGAGGGGGAGGGGAAGAAAAAATATGAAGACTGACTAAGCTGAAGGTGTTCCCATCTTTCCTCCCAACGATGCAGCATCACATTTCTCTGGTTAGTCAAGGAAACCAGTTTCTCCTTGATCTGAAAGTCAAGAACAGGAAATACAGAATTGCATGCAAATTCTTCATAATCATGAGTAGGACTTAAATAATAATACATCAGTTCATATTCCTGACTGCAATAATACTCACTGTCAAAATATAATTGACAGTCAGTAAATTTTTATTTTTAAAAGGAAATTCCAGATTTGAATATGATAATAACCTTTGGCCAAAAGCTACAAATGAGCAGTGAGTTGAAAAGCATTCCAAAGGTACCTCAGATAATATACACATTACTGGTATTGCTATTTGAGCTTCCATGCCATGATACCAACAATTGAACCTTGGACATGTGCAAATTCCTGGCATGATTGTAGCCCTAGCATCAAGGAACTGCAACAGTTGAAAAATCATATGGCAAGATGATTACCTCCTCTGATGCATAGTGGCTACGTGACAGCAGTTCCTTTCCGAGACTTATGCAGCCTGAGAAGTTGTCCTCTCTTGTGTCAATCTCAGCTTTTAGGCTCTGATGATTGTTCATGAGCAATTCAACTCCACTCACATCCCTGTGAACAAAATTCATGCATATATATTCAAGTATTGATCTATCCCAAGCATAACTGATGAGGCACAAGGAGAGAGACTAAAGGGGACTTTCCCCCCCCCCCCTTTTTTTTCAGTAGTTCAAGAAAAATGCTTCAAAAGTTCCACATGGAACCCACGAGCATGTCATTCCTATTGCCAGTTTAAACCCTTAACCCTTTGTTCTGCAAATTGTGAAGAGATGTTTCTACCTGTCCAGGATTAAAAGGAGAATTCTATGGCTGCTTACACATATGAAAACAAAACAAGCCAGTCAGAGCATTGTTTGCTTGTGCCACTTCTTGTGATGAGTACAATCAACCCTCAATATATTAATACCATCACCCTTGCTTTTTGCCAACTCTTTCCCAAGAACAAATCCTCCCCATAAGCTTATTATAAAGATTACCCTGTCATAGCGCCTGCCACCTTAGCAAGTTTCCATCTGCCAACACCACCATTCGTACAAACATGCTTTTTCCTACATAAATCTTCATCAATTTTGCACTAAGTAGCAAATGTACCACAACCCTTATCCAGTCCTAAACACAGCTATATGTATGTTGCCACTGTGAGAGGTGACTCAGCCATGGACTTGATAGTGAATAGGACAAGAGTAGAGTATCAGAGGGGAATAAGGATTGCAATAACCTTCACATCCATTTAGTCCATTTATCCTCAAGAGATTTCAGTAATGTAACCACTAGCATAGTGCAAGTTATTTGATATAGTACCAAAATTGGTGATGCTCAACGGTGACATAATATCGAGGGTTGACAGTACCACACTGTGCTGTGCCTGTTTTCAAGAAGTAGGATTCAGACTCATAATTATGATATATAAATCATGGTTATGAAAATCATGTAAATAGAGAAATTTGATTTTTTTTTTTACAGCTGTTATGTATAAATAAAATGACCATCCACTAAAATGTCATTTGTTAAATAAATGTTGAATCACAAGACCTTATGGTTGGCCTTACTGTTGGCCATGGCACCAAACATTGAAGGTCAACTTGGAACCAGCTCTGGCAAGGAGGAAACTGGCAATTATTAGTCTCATAATGTGACTGCCTTAAAGGAATTCCATGCCTCAATAGGGAACTCCCCCCTCCCCATTCAAATGAAATTTCAAGAAATTTGATGAGAGAAAAATCCGTTTTTTCTTTCATAACATGATTTTGCCTGTTATAGAATGTAGCTAACAAGGATTTATCTCTAAAACCAGTGGTTATGCACCTAAACTGTCATAATGGAATTATACTGTACTGAAAGATCATGGATGAGAGACCTTGGTTTTTCAGTGGTGTTCATCTGGCGCACAATGTCATCCATCCATAGCTTCAGAGTTCTGACCATCATGAAGAACTTAAAGAGATCACCAGTGTCAGCCAGTTTCATGCGCCGAGCTTCACACTTTTGCTGGAGGTTCCTCCAAGCGTTCACCACTTCAAATTCCTTGTTTGTGATCTCCATTGCTTTCTCTCCTGCATAAGCAGCCTGAAGCTTGGCTGAATCTTCTTGCACTTGTTGTACCTTTATTCATGAATGAAGAAGACTTTATACTGACAGGTTGATACTATGTGGGAGCCTTGATAAGTTAAGACCAAGCAAGAACCACATACTTGTGACTGAAGAGTCATAAGGTCTTGCACAAAATTCTGGTGTTTCCTCTGCAGCGCATTGACAGCACCAGCATCTCTGCCCAGTTCATCTGACATGGAATTCTGTTTCTCAATGATTCTGGACAGGACATCTTTGCAGTCATGGAAGAACTTGTGAAGTTCCCATGATGCTGAGAGCATCTAAAGATAGAAGGCAGGGAAAACATGAACACATGAAGAAGGCTTGACAATTTCTTTAACAACTTTGTAGACAGTCCAGACCTGAGTGCGAGTATCAATGAGTTCCAAAAGGTCTGCCCAATCTTCATTGAGGCCATCCTTCCATTCAGCAATTGTTGCTGCATCAGTGTGTCCATTCATGATCAGTTGGTCTGCAAACTCATTCACATTGCTCACCCTCTCTGTTCCAATGGTCTCCGTGTCACGAGCAAAGTCACGGAAACGTTCACGAAGCATCTGCAAGAGCAATATACTTGGCAAATCTTTGGTGAAAGATCAGATAGAGAAATCTCTGAAATTTTTAGAGCTTACCGTGACATGATCATAATCCTGCCCAAGTTCATGAGATCCAGCCACAACTTCCCTCTCAGCAATCCATTGCTGGAGATCATCAACTTCACGATGAAGTGTGAAGAGTTGGAGAGCTTCCTCCAGCTTGGCCCTCCTTTCATTGGCCAAGTCCTTGAGTCCAGCATACAGTTTATCCACTTGTGCTTGTCGTACTCTGATTGATTCACTGGAATTGGAAAATAGAATGGTCATTATGTCCAAGGCAAGAATTTTATAACCTCTCTCCAAGAAAGAGTAGAGTTTCCATGCCTATCAGGGTGCTGTTCTGCAATGAGCAGGCGTGCCAGTTCTCCAAGCTGCCTTACAGTTTCTGCATAATCTTCCACATCCTTCTCCAGACTCTCATGCTTCTTCATTAGATTCTGGGATGAGATCTCATCCTTGCCACGATCTTCCACCATCATGTATAATTCCTGCTCACTCATCCATGACTCTGCTTCACTGGCATCATAGAAGTACTACAAGAAAAAATTATATGACAGTGACAGTGGATGACAATGAATAACAGCTCTCATGTTTTAAAGCTATATTCTTGTACAACACAGACCTGCTGAGCTCTTTCAGAAATGAGGAGGTTCTTCTTGCGGTTTTCCATAGCATCCTTGAGGCCCTGCCATGCCTCAAGTAGCTCCTCAATGAGCTGAGAAAATTCCTCTGAGTCCTTGTGCCCTTCATTGATCAGCTTTGCCCCATTGTCACAAACAAGGTGGATTCGAGGCTCATGATTGTCTACCTCTGTCCTCAGCGACTATAAGAAAGTTGGCATGCTCACCCAATCAATAACAGGCAAGAATCACATCTACACTCTCAAGGAACTTCTTTGTCACCTGGTTCTTTTTGATCAACATGAGGACATGAAAGAGTGTGGTTCCATAATCTGTTGAAGTAGCCAACAGCATCTTCTCTTGGATCCAGAGCTTCTCATCTTCCACATCTCGACGGAACTGCAAATCAAATGAAATTTTATGAATGATTAATATGCCTTAAAATCCAAATTATTATTATTATTCGTACGTCTCGGCCACACATACAGAGGAGAAAGGGGTGACAAACAAAAATAAACAAGAACAGCGAACAGAAACGGCACGGAAGGGTACACATTCGCGCATCACCAGCATATTTACACTTGGAGGGGGAGAGACCTTAGCCACTCCAGGGCCTCGGGGGTGGCATGATGGATTCCGTCGAGACCTCCGGGAAAG